ATCCCAGCACTGAGGAGGCTGAGGCAGGAGGGTTGCTGTGAGTTCAAGACCAGCCTGGTCACTACAAAGTGAGCTCAAGGGCTGGGGAGATGGCTCAGTGGTCTAAAGCACCTACTTAGAACAAGCTAAGCTAAGCAAAGCACAGGGACCACGGTTCAATCCCCCAGCACCACATGCCAGCCGGCCCCGCCCCCTGGTGTGCTGTTTTGGCCACACACACACACACATACACACACACACACACACACATAAATAAAGATTTACCAACAATATTAAAAAAAACAATATTAAAAAAAAAAAAAAAAAAAAGCAAAGTGAGCTCAAGGCCATCCTGAACTGCATAGCAAGACCCTGTCTCAAAAACACACACACATACACAGAAAAAAGAACAGAAGGAGTTCAGAGCCTTGTGGAATGTTATCCCCATGCTTCATTTTCTGTACATACACTTTTATTCTTTTTCTACTGCTGAGAACAGGAGAAGGAAAACTAGAAATTAATTGCAAGTATTCCATAAAAATAAAACACCCGATGGCTTGGTTGAATGAAATGAGGTTGGCAGAACAGGCGATGTCAGTTGTCATGAAGCTTAGCAGCTGCCAGAGCAGCCCGCCTCCGATGGAAGGGTAAAGTACCTTTCAGATTAGTTTATTGGTGTCCAGTTGCTTGGCAAAAAGCGAAGAAGAAATAGTCCCAGAGCCCTGCCTGGTGCCTCCCATGGAGACAGCCATGTGAGCTTTGTGCTGAGCCCCTTACCTGGATTAATGTGGTCCCCATAAGCTTGACTATGCCCATTTCACAGGTGAGGAGACCAGGAGTTAGATTTGCTCAAGGGCACAGTAGAGTGGACACAGAGAATTCCAGCCATAGCAGTGCAGGTCCAGAGCCCAGGGGTCACACCTGCCCTGGCGTTCTTAGACAAGGATGCACTTTGGGAACATTTAAAGCTGGATATAGACAAGAAAAGGGGGGGGGGGGCTGGCAAGATAGCTCAGCAGACTAAGTGCCTGCTTAGGCAAGCCCAGGGACCAGGGTTCTATCCCTGGTACCACATGCCACACTGGCCCTGCCCCTGAGTGCGCTGAGCCAAAAACTGAGTCCAGGCGAGGTGACGCACACCTGTAATCCCAGTGCTGAGGAGGCTGAAGACAGAAGGATCACTAGGAGTCCAAGCTGCATAGTGGGACCCTGTACCAAATTAAATAATGATAATAAAACTGGATATGGACCCCAATCCAACCAAAAGTATCACCAGAATTTCTGGGTACAGGCATGGATTTTTTTAATTCTATTTTTTGGTACTGTATAATGAACCCAGGACCTGCTCACTGAGATGCAGCCCAAGACCTTTTATTATTTATTATTTAGAGATAGGGTCTTGCTAAGTTCATGAAATGCCCAGGCCGGGCTTGAATATAGGATTCTCTTGCCTCAGCCTCTCAGAGCACTGGAACCACAGATGTGGGCCACTGGGCCTAGCAGGCATGGATGTTCATAAAATGTCTTGTGATTCTCATCAGCTGCAGGAGTGACACTGCATGGTATTTAACATGTTTGCTTTACTCATCTGTTTTTTGAGAAGGCATCTCCCTGTATTTTCTGGGCTGGCCTCAAGCTCACAGTGACCTTCTTGCCTCAGCCTCCTGAGTGCTAGGATTATAAATATGCACAACCATGCCTAGCTTGTTTTCTTACTAAAGCAGGAACACTATGGAAAGGTGTATTAATTTCTGCCCTAAAGAAATTCAGGTGGGAGACAGGAACTATATAAGAAAATGATGGCCTGAGGCAGCAGGATCACCATGAGCTCAAGGCCAAGCTACCTAGAAAGACCCTGGCACAGAAAGAATGAAAATGATAGTGGTTTGGGTAGATTAAGTGCTGTAGTGAAATTCAGAGGAAGATCAGAGCTTTCACTGTGCTCTGAGCAGATAGGGTTGCATGTGTGACCTGGGCCCTCTCCCTGCTAATCAGATCCTGAGGCACGGGGTAATCCTGAGTTGGAAAGAGGCCACGCCTTGTGCCAGTCGTGTCTGGTGGCTGCGACTCACATCAGGCCTGTACAGGAGTCACCTGAATGCACAGCCCGGAGTGGGTGGAAGCGAGGTGGGAAGAGTGTGGTGCAGGCAGAGCAGGCTGAGCGTGAAGAGGGGACCAAAAAAGCAGCTCGTGACAGCGTTGGCGGGTGGCTGGACAGGAGCGGGGATTCTGCCTCATAGCCCCTTCTTTGCTGTCGTCTTTAAAACACTGTGCAGTGTCAAAGGTGCTTTTGGTTTTTGTGTTCTTTTTGGCAGGAGGCTGTCTTTCTTTCATTTTTTTCAATAATTTTATTGAGAAACAAATAGCAATGAGACAGTTTCAAACCAAATTGGTATTGCAGTTTCAATAATTAACACATTGCATACATTCTTCCTAGTGCTTAATTGCTGTACAAGATGCAGACTTGATATCCTATTTACAAACACCATTAGAAAAAAATATGGAATGCTTCACGAATTTGCGTGTCATCCTTGTGCAGGGGCTGTGCTAATCTTCTCTGTATCGTTGCAATTTTAGTATATGTGCTGCCAAAGCAAGCACTGTTTCCTTTTTTTGAGGCAGGGTCTCACTGTGCAGTTCAGGCTGGTCTTGAATTCACTTTGTAGCCCAGGCTGGTCTTGAACTCTGAAGATTTCTCCTGCCTTAGCCTCCTGAGTGCTGGAATTACAGGACTATGCCACCACACCCAGTTTTTTGAGATTTTTTTTGTTTTTAGATTTATTTATTTGGTACAGAATCTCATGCAGCTTTGGACTCATAATGATCTTCCTGTCACAGCCTCCCCAGTACCAGGACCACCACACCAGGTTTTGGTGCCCAGCTCAGTGTGCCCAGGGATCCGGGGCCAGCAGGGCATGTGGTATGAGGGGATCAAACCCAGGTCCTTGTGCTTGCCAGGCAGGTGCTTAGACCGCCAAGCTATCTGCCCCCATCTCCCCAGCCCTTCGTTTTCATCAGTTGGAGACAATGAGAATTATCTGGGAGCTGCTTGATCATCTCAGTGACCCAGACTGAATTACACAGTGAGACCCTGGCTCAAAAACCAAAAATTAATAAACCATTAAAAAATGCTGAGAGGGCCCAGCGAGATAGCTCAGCAGACTAAGCACCTGCTTAGGCAGGCACAGGGACCAGGGTTCAATCCCCAGTACCATGTGCTTCGCCATGCACCCTGAGCCACCACTGAGACCAAGCATGGTGACATACATCTGTAATCCCAGCGCTGGAGAGGCTGAAAACAGGAGGATCACTGCAAGTCCGAGCTGCATAGTGAGACCCTGTACCAAACACATAAAAAAAATTTTTTTTAAGGTGCTGACACAGGGGCCAGGGAGATGGCTCAGTGGAATAAGCGCTTCCCTGGCAAGCGCAAGGGCCTGAGTTCAATCCCTGGTTCCACAAAAAAATAAATAAATAAATAAAAAATAAAGTGCTGACACAGTCAGTGCCTAATACATAGGAGCAAACCTAAGACCTCAAGCCTGCCAGGTGTCACCACTGAGCTACGTCCCCAGCCCTCGGAAGCTTGTGATACTGGACGTCATAATGTTTATTAAATGTCAAGTATAGCAAAGCATCCACATGCAGCCTGCCTTAAAGTTGTGCCAGCAGTCTTCAGCTGCCGAGGGGGCAGTATGACATCAGAGGAGTCACGGTGCTGCCAGTCAGGAAACCCAGGCCCTGGTCACAAAGGTTTTCTCAGGAACTTAGACTAAGGATCTTAGAGGTGTAGAAACAGCCCAACTGGGCATGGTAAGAAGGCTGAAGCAGGGGCATCACTGTGATTTCAGTGCCAGTCTGGACTCAGAGCAAGCCCATTTCAAAAAATAAACACCAGATGTGATGCCAAAATCCTGAGCCTGTGTCACTGTGAGTATTCCACTGCAGCAGAAGCTAGCTGCAAGGGCAGAAGTTCCAAGTTTAGTCAGAATTGTACAGGAATAGAAAGAGGTAAGATTTTTTTAGAAAGGAGTTTTGGTGCTGGGGTGTAGTTGAGTGGTAAAGCACTTGCTTAGCATGCCCTGGGTTCAGTTCCCAGCCACTCCAAAAATAAAGTCGCATATGATTTCAGTAAGAAATGAGCCAGGTATGCTACATGTCTGTAATCCCAGCAGAGACAGGAGAATTGTGAATTCAGTGCCAGCCTAGACTACATAATGAGACCCTGGCTCAGAAAAATCAGGAGGAGAGAAAGAAAATTGTTCTTGGGGGTTTTTGAAAAAAACTAACAGATTTATCGATGTGCATTTTACACACTATGAAATATACCTATTTTAAGTCCTGACTCAGTTCTTTCTAGTAGATTTATAGAGTTGTTCAACTGTTAGCAGACAGCCACTGTCTTATGGATTCCTTGTTTCCCAAACACAGAATTGAGCAGGACACACAGAAATAGCTAAGGAGGCAGAGATTTACTAAAGGAGAAGGCGCTGCACGGAGTGGGAGTGGTGAAGTTTGCCATAGAGCACCCTGTCTGCTTCAGGCGGTTCTGCAGCCCCTGCCAGTAATGAAAGTGCCCTCCATTAAAGTGCAGGGCCAGTGGTGGCCCCTGGGGGGAGCTTTTGCTCTGTTTTATCTTCCTAGACTGTGAGGGGAAACGGGTCTTTCAGCCAACTCTGCCATCCTTCCATCCGGTATTCAGGGGTGTTCGTGATTTTATAGGGACAGGGTGGATCGTGCACTGCTGATGACATTGCATTGCCTGTGGGTTCCCTGTGACTGAGCAGTTACAAGCCACAGGTGCAGGAAGCGGGCGAAGGGGAGGAGCGTGTGTTTCTGGCTCCTGCGCGCTCTGAGACTAAGGCCAGCGTGGCCACCACAGCCATCATCAGAACCCAGTTTGAGAGCTGTACTCACCTTGGAAAGAACCCTGGTGCAGTTTTCAATCATTGCTTTCTTTCTACCACCAGCCTGGGCTATTGGTTTTCTGAAAATAATTGTTGAAAATAACTTTTCTTTTGCAGGATGGCATCGTAAACCCAACAGTAAGAAAAGACTTAAAGACCGTACCAAAATTCTACTGTTGTCCAATTGAAGGCTGCCCCAGGGGCCCCGACAGACCATTCTCACAGTTTTCTCTCGTGAAACAGGTATTTGACTTTTCTTCATATTCTCTTCCCTGGACAAATTGAGAAGGTGGAGGCCCAGCCTGCTCTGCGCTCAGGCAGGGGCCAGGGGTGGCCCTATCCTGCCGCGCATCATGCCCAGGCTGTCACCGTGGGCTGCCCGGGCTGTGTCTGTGGGCTGGGGGCCGGTGGCTGTGAAGGCGTTGTTCTCAGCCACCCATGCCCTCACAGCACTTCATGAAGATGCATGCTGAGAAGAAGCACAAATGCGCCAAGTGTGGCAACTCGTACGGCACAGAGTGGGACCTGAAGAGGCACACGGAGGACTGTGGCAAGACCTTCCAGTGCACGTGTGGCTGCCCCTATGCCAGCAGGACGGCGCTGCAGTCGCACATCTACCGCACAGGCCATGAGATCCCCGCAGAGCACAGGTGAGGCGGCGCTGCAGTGGGCCAGAAGGGCGGAGCGGGTGGCTCTCAGAAATGGCAGCAGGCATGTCTCAGGACAGACTCTTCACCCAGTTGTTCCTCTTTTTCCGTTGTTTTGTTTTCTGTTTGGTATGGCGGAGGTCCCCCCACCTGGCTGGCCTTGAACTCACCATAGCCCAGGCCAGCTCCAATTCGCAAACCCCCTGCCTCAGCCTCCTGAGTGTTCAGAGTACAGGCATGTATCACCACATCTGTCACTGCTTCTCCTTTTCATTTTGTTCATCCTCTCTGAGGGTCTCTTGGTGTTTACATTTGAAAGTACCAGCTCCGCAGGAAAATCAGCCATAGTGCCACTCCCCTGTAATCCCAGCACTTGGAAAGCTGAAGCAGGAGGATTGCTCAAGTTCAAAGCCAACCTGGGCTACAAAGTAAGTTCATGGCCAGCCTGAACTACATAGTGAGACCCTGTCTCCAGAAGACACGTACTCACAGCCTTAGAAAAGAGAAATGTTCCTCCTTCCCTGTTTACTCCTCTTCTGGACACCTGCCCGCCACGACAGGCCTGATCTCAGGGTTGCCAGAAGGGCAGTCCCTCTGGTAGAATCTGACCTCTGATGTGTGAAGCAACGTGGTCAGAGAAAGCTGTGCTTTTATTTATTTATTATTTTTTATTTTAGGAAAGGGTCTACAGGGTATTCACGGTCTCACTGCTAGATTAGACTCATAGTGATCCAACTGTTTACAGCCTCCCAAGTGCTGGGATTACAAGTGCGTGCCACCTTGCCCAGTCTCAGTTGCTATCTCAGCGCACCCTGGGGGCAAGGCTGGCACAGCAGGCCCAGGGATCGAGCCCCCAGCCCTCTTGCAGGTGCTTTAATCCACTGAGCTATTTGGCCGGCCCAAAAAAAACGCTGTGCTTTAAACAGCTGTCTTTTTTTTTTTTTTTTTTTTTTTTTGCGGAACCGGGGATTGAACTCAGGCCCTTGCGCTTGTCAGGGAAGCGCTTATTCCACTGAGCCATCTCCCCAGCCCCTCTGTCATTGTTTTCAGGGACCCACCTAGTAAAAAAAGGAAAATGGAAAACTACCTGTAGAACCGGAAGCTGTCCGCAAAGACCATCGAATCCTTCAGCAACCAACCACGGCTCCAGCCAGACACCCAGGAACTGGAGACTTCAGAACTAAAACTCGTAGCTGCTCTTGAGGACTCTCGTGGCTCCAGGAAGCAGAGTGTCCCCCCACCTCCCAGACAGCCTCAGAAGCTGCTCTTACCAAAGCCCAAGGTGGCTCTGGTGAAGCTTCCAGTCATGCAGCTGTCGCCTGTGCCACTCTTTGTGCCTACAGCCGATTCCTCCACCCAGCCCGTGGTGCTGGGCGTCGATCAGGGCTCTGCGACGGGGGCCGTGCACCTGGTGCCTCTGTCCGTGGGGGCCCTAATTCTTGGCCTGGAGTCCAAGGCGTGCTCCATGAAGGAGAGCCTGCCCCTCTCAAAAGTTACAAATCCCAGTGTGGAGCCAGTCAGTGCAGGTGTCCAGGTGAACCTGGGGAAGTGTCCCAACCCCTCCCTGGAGCTAGAGGGCGTGTGCCAAAGGAACAGCATTTCATCCACCAATGTGCAAACAGACCTGTCCTGTGCTGCACAGCACTTGGTCCCTTCTGTGCCGTGGGGCAACCCTGACTCTTCCGTGTCGTCTTGCTCTCAAACTGACCTGACGTTTAACTCGCAGGTGTCCCTTCCCATTAGTGTCCACACTCAGACACTTCTGCCAGGCTCCAAGGCAGTGTCATCCATCGCTGCGCAGACAGACGCTTTCATCAACATCTGTCTCCAACCAGGTGCGGTCTCCAAGGAGACCCAGACCTGTGGGGTTCCTGGGCCCCTAGACCACCGGCTGCCGATGGACCAAGCTGGGTTGTGTGGGGACATCTTTGACAGCGTCCACTCCACATACAGTGTTCCCACAGACAATATGATAAACAGCAGTTTAGTAGCAGAGACCATCCCCCATGGTTTGTTACCTCAGAGCAACCCCAAGGCTCTCAGTGAAGCAGTGGAGAAGCCCATGCCCATCTTAAACTTCAGTGCACAGAGCAGTCTGCTTCCCTCTCAGAACACGACAGATAACCAGACCCAAACCATAGACCTCCTCAGCGACCTAGAAAACATCTTGTCAAGCAGCCTGCCCAGCCAGGGGCTGGACAATCGTGGTCTTTTACCTGACACCAATGCTGGGCCTGACACCCAGCTGCCTTCTGGACCCCCCCAGAATCCCAGCATCGATTTTGATATTGAAGAGTTCTTCTCTGCCTCCAACATCCAGACTCAGACTGACGAGAGTGTCCTGGGCACCATGCACGCAGAGCCAGCCCTGGAGTCGCTGGACATTGAGACCCAGACAGACTTCTTCCTTACAGACCCGTCCGTGCCCCCCTTCGGGTGCAGGGGTGGCACCCACTTCCTAGGGCTCGAGATGTTTGACACGCAGACCCAGACAGACTTAAACTTCTTCCTGGACAGCGGCCCTCACCTGCCCCTCGGCAGCATCCTGAAACACTCCAGCTTTTCCATGAGTACTGACTCATCTGACACCGAGACCCAGACAGAAGCCCTTTTGGCCCCCCGAAACGTCCCTGCTCTGGAAAACAAAGTGCAGCTAAACAGCGCCGAGACACAGACCACCAGGTCGGGCCTGGAGGCGCTGGGGAGCTTGTTCTTCACCAGCAACGAAACACAGACAGCCATGGATGACTTCCTGCTGGCCGATCTGGCCTGGAACACCATGGAGTCTCAGTTCAGCTCCGTGGAAACCCAGACCTGTGCTGAGCTGCACAACTTCTAAAGGATCAGGCAGACGAGAGTGGCATTTGCCACTTCCTCCCAGACTTAAAACAAAAACGGGGAACAGGGATGACAGTATTACCTTCGTTGAATGTAGTCCATGACACAGTGCTTAGGTTCCTTGCGGTCTTTTCCCTTTTGTACTTGTAAACACGGTTCGTGTGTGAATGTGAGTATATCATAAAGTGTAAGCTGTCGATCTGAAAGTGTTTTCACGTTGCCTACATTCGCACTTTCATGGCTGGTCTGCCCATCCTGTGTCAAACGCGTGCAGCCCCGTAGCTGAAGCCAAGCTTGCCAGTGCTGGGGTGCAGGCTCCGCCCATGTCCCAAGTGTGTTAGCCAAGCGTGATGCACATCACCTGCACCTCAGGCGCTCCTGACGGTGCTACACTTGTGCCCGCTTTGCCATCTCTTCCCAGCTCCTCTCTCCAAACACTGAGGGAAACCACGGCTTGCTTTATGTGGATTTTACAACGGTTTTCTTGAAATCACTGCCATCCTCTCCTGAACGCTTACTGATGCCGAGTACTGTCCTGCCTCACCAGAAGGTTCTTGCTGTGAAATTATGCCCAGAGAAGGAGCAGCCAGCACTGAGTGTAAGCCGTAAGGCTCTCAACCCTGTCTTGGTGACAAAATGGAGCCTGGGTCAAGAGCACAATGCCTCCCTGTGTTCTTTCACCACTGTCAGTCTAGAAGACACCCGTGTGGGGTCTCCTCCACCCAGCAAGCTGGGTGAGCCCGGTGTGCACAGTTCTGACACCCCCACAGTCTGGCCCTCCAGAATGTCTAGCAGCCAGCCAGAAATTGGAGTTACCACGACTCCCACCTTGAATTTGGTTCATTTGCTAGAGCAGTTTGCAGAACTCAGGGAAACTCAGGCCACAGTATTGGGGAGGATACAAAAGGAGGGATGCCCAGGTGCACTGTGGGAGGGGACAGCTGCCAAGCCCTCAAAGGGCACCACACGCTGGGATGACCTGCTCAACTGTCCAAAGCTCTTGGAACCCAGTTCTCGGGTTCTTGTGGAGGCCTCATTACATGAGTGTGGAGGATTAAATTATTGGTGATCAGCTTAACCCGCAGCCCCTTTGCCCTCCCCGAAGGCTGTGAGAAGTGAAAAGCGCCCAGCTGTCTAACCAGGCTGGGCCTGCCTTGTGCCTGTCCCGACCTAAAGCTGCCTGGGACCAGCAGCCACCAGTGAGTGCACTGTCATGCAACAACCAAAATGCTTACTGCACAGATGACTTGCATTTTACAAGGTGTATGCCAAGGAGGGAGACCCAGTGTCCATGTCACACCGCCGCATCCACAGACATCCCTGCCCTCCACGGCAGGCCCACGTGGGCTCCAGAGCTGCTTCACATCCCCAGTGTGCCCGCCAGCTGCCTCCAGTGTCATCCTCTACTGAAAAGGAGCAGAGAAGGACATTGCCCCATACCCAGACTTCACTGCTACGCGCTTCAAAGCTTTACGGGACAAGGGTGCAATCTACGGTCATTTGGAAGTGGCTTTTCCTTCCATCCACCACTCAGTCCTTTCCTAGAATAAGGAAACACATTGGTCAAGGATGTATTTTGTGCCTTGAGGCTAACAGTTACACACTAGATCCATCCAGAATGTGGTATTCTGCTTAGTGTTGCTTTATTTAAAAAGTCACATAGTCTTCAAAGAAAGAAGGTGGAAACCTGTGTCCTCAAGAACATGTTCTGTCTTTTGAGCCCAGCACACAGTCAAGTATGCTTTGCCAGTTCTGTGTATCCAACAGGTCCTGACCTCTTAATAGCTGCCCAACTGTCAGGAAAGTAAGACTCAGTCCAGCGTGCGAGGTCTCGGTTACCCCGGATGCACTGCTGTTTCTGTGGCACGCGCTGTGCTGCCCAAGACTAGCTCCTTAACACTGAAGATGCAACTGGATTCATCAAAGGAAATGGGCTGTGAGCCCCTGAGGCCCGCCCCGCCCATCTGACACGAAGAACTGGGAATGAGTGGCTCGCTCTCTCGTGGGCTGTTAGGTGGAGTCATCCTGCTGGGTAAGTGTGCTTCGATCGCAGTTGCCTATGAACATGGGTTTCAAACATAAAGCCTTAACTTAGATTGTCATTGTTTTAGAATTGTCACTGCCTTAATGTTCAGACATCTGTTTAAGTCCTCCCAATCAAGGAGAAATGCATGTTTGTGTATGGCTTTTTGTAAATAGAAATGCAGTGATCTATGGCTTTAAACATTTTTTGTGTGTCTATGAAAATGTTTGTTAATTCAACAAATAGTTATTACAGAAAATGGAGCATGTGGTTGTTCTTCATGTGCAAGAACTGTTTCTCCCCAAAACTTTAGTCAGCTGCTTTGTCCTAAGATTATTTGTAAAAACCGAAATCCAGTGATTAAACAGAAGCTAGTATTCTACCTCTTTGTGTGATTCTTTGACCTACTCATGATGTGACTTACTGTTACCTTTTTACAAATTCAGTTTTGTGAAGTGATTGTTGCTGTATTCTCATTATTTTGCCCTTGTTCATGAGAAAATGCTAAAAAAAAAAAGGGGGGGGGAAACGCTAACAGTTTTCCTGAAAAGGATATTATTATTGGTGTCTATTTTGATAAACCTAAAGACAACACATCTTAGGACTTTTTTTTCTTTCCTGAGACAGAGTTTTGCTATGTAGTTCTGGCTAGCTTTGAACTCGCTCTGTAGCCCAGGCTGGCCTCCGAGTCTCTGAGATCTTCCTGGGTCGGCCTCGCGAGTGCTGGGATTCCAGGCACGCACCAGCACACCAGGCCAGTCAGTGCATTTACTCCGGCTCCACCTCATCGGATGTGGCCCCAGCCGGCCCCTGCCTCAGAGCCCCGTAAATAAGTGGCCCTGGCTGAAGAGCAGACAAGAGGCTGGAAGATGACCGACCTGGGCTCAGTCACTGCTCTGCAGGGGCAGGACCAGTATGTCTCCCATTCCTCCAGGTAAAGACCTAACAGAAAATAAACATGTAGACTTGCCTGAAAGATTCTGAGTGAGGTTTGAAGTTACCTTTTCATTTGAAGAAAACACAGCATCAAACTAACTGTGAAGTCACTATTACTAACACTTGCAAATGGCTGGGTCCCTCTAGTACCGGGGATGGAACTCAGGACTTGTGTGTGTGCCAAACACACAGGATAAGGAGCAAATGGAGAGAGTTCTCTTGAGTTTTATTTTTTATTTATTTATTTATTTATTTTAGCTGTTTGAGACAGGGACCTTATTATGTAGCTGAAGCTGGCCTTGAACTTACGGGGATCCTCCTGCCTCAGCCTCTGGAGTGCTGGAGTTACGCGCCTGTGCCACCACACCTGGCTCACCTTTTCCTATTTCTGCCCTAAAGATAAACAACAGCTGTTCACATTCCCCAGTTGTCCAGTTCAGACAGACGCACCCACCCAACAGTAACAAGTTTTTTTCCATCACCATGCTCATGCTGTCATATTGTAATGCAGGGCTTTAACCTCAGCGCAGTGGACGTTGGCAGCAGGGCCCCCTTTGAAGGTGGTGAGTTGGCTTGTGCGTTGTAGGAACATGAAGCCTAAGATTCCAGTAATTCTCCCAAGTTGTGACAGAGTGCCTCGGCCAGTGAACCCCAGGGGAAGCAGTCGCTGCCTGGGAACTGCTGTGCCGGTGGAAATGCACAGCGCGATTAGTTCAGGTTTCATTCCAGCGCTGGATCGTATTCTTCAGTGTCAGGCCTGGTGGTAGCACCGGACGCCCCTCTGGCCGTACTTCTGCATCCAGCGGGTCGGTGAAGACGGGCTGCTGTCACCCTCCCAGCCCACCCGCGACAGCACTAGCAGTGGGAGCCACCCAGCCCCAGGTGGGACAGCTAAGGACGGCCTGCTGCAGCCTAGCAAAGCTCCGTGTGTGGTCTAGAAAACGAGTGCTAGGAGAAGGAGGAGGCCTCCTGGCCTGTGTAAAACGTACTTTTAAACCTCCTAGGAGCTTTTGCTCTTTAGGGTTTGTTTTTCTTTTAGTTTTTATTTTTTTTAATTTATTTGTGTGTGTGTGTGTGTGTGTGTGTGTGTGTGTGTGTGTGTGTCGCCAGCTCAGCCCACCAGGGGGCGGGGCTGGCTGGCATGTGGTGCTGGGGGATTGAACCGCGGTCCCTGTGCTTTGCTAAGCTTGTTCTAAGTAGGTGCTTTAGACCACTGAGCCATCTCACCAGCCCCTCCATAGGGTTTTTGCTTTTATTTTTCTGCACACTGGAAAAGCCAGGGTGCAGAGCAAGTTGGACGGAAAGCTGCGGCGGTAGGAACTGCTGGTGAGTGCTTCATAAGGTCTGCAGCAGGTGACCATGGCTAAGGTGACAGAAATACGACCCCAGGCCAGGGCCCCTCCCTTCGTGAGGCAAGGCAGCAACACCTGTTCGCAGAATTGGAGCGAACCAAGAGCAGAGAATGAGGCGTGGTGGCGCACACCTGGCACCCCAGCACTTGGGAGGCTGAAGCAGGAGGATCCTTGCGAGTTCAAAGCCAGCCTGGGCTACAGAGTGAGCTCAAAGCCAGCCTGAACTATGTAGCGAGCTGAGGCCCTCTCAGGAAAAACAAAAACAGAGAGCTGCGGCAGTTCCTGCTAGCGTGGCAGACCCCAGGAGTGTACCTCTACAGCGGCACAGGGGACGCCCAGACTTGGGATGTGGGCCTGCGCTCTGCAGTTCGCTTTCTTGGCCAGAAGGGGGCGCGCATAGTGCGATGATCCGGGTGTCTGTGGTCACTATGGGAGAGAACCAAAGCAAATTGGATTCTGGGCTCAAGACTTTATATAGCAAGGCCTTTGAGGCCGAGAAGATAGTTCAGTAGAGTAAGCACTTGCCTGGCAAAGCCTTTGAAGCTCAGGTAAGTTTCACAATATTGGATAACGTTCCAAATCAGAAGAATAAGATTAAATATTAGGAAAGATCGCCAGATGTTGTGGCACATGCCTGTAATCTCAGCACAAAGGAGGCCAAGGCAGGAGGATCACCACAAATTGGAGGCCAGCCTGGGCTACATAGGAAGTTCAAGGCCAACTTTGGTCTCAAAAAACCAAAGAACAGGGCAGAGGATATAGCTCAGCAGCATAGGCACCTGGCTGACAAGCGCAAGGTCCTGGGTTTGATCCCCAGTACCAGGCATCATCCTCATTAGTAGAGTGGTGAGTACCCCCGCCTGCGGATCCCCAGTACCAAAAAAAAAAAAAAAAGTGTGGAAATTTTTATTGATGAGATGGCCAAAAGGAACAATTAGGAATAACATGAGCTCTCTGTGCTTGTTTGGAGAGAACTTAAGAGGAACCACCTTGAGGTAGAAGCCACTGCCAACTGCGTGGCGCTCGTCTTCACCAGGGTGTCTGGTCAGTGACTCCAAATTGCAACAGAAAACAGCCTCCTATTCCACACGTCACCTTTATCTAGACTTGGCAGCGAAGGACTATGGTACATGGCCTAAGATCTAAATGAAACCAGGACAAAGCATACAGTGGCTTCTCCCACAGAGGAACAAAGCTGAACCCCAGCTATAGAGAAAGTTCCCGGGGACCTGATGAGCCACTTGAATCACCTGAGCAGAGCTGCAGATGCAAACCATTCTCAATCTATTAGGAAGAACCTCTACTCTGTATCTTGTTAGGTTAGCTGTTCTCTGGAAAAAGGGGGCTTCTGGGGATTAAGCCTAGGGCCCTGCACATGCTGAGCTACACCCAGCCCTCAACAAGCCTTTATCAAACTTGGGCCCTGTGTTCAGATTGGTCCTCCTCAGAATTCTCAATTATATGAAGCTTAAGAGTATAGTACAGGGGCTGGGGAGATAGCTCAGTAGAATAAGCACTTGCCTGGCAAGCACAAGGTCCTGAGTTCAATTCCCAGTACTGCAAAAAAGAAAAAAAAAAAAGGGTAGCTCAATGGTACAGTGCTTGACTGATATGCATGAGGCCCTGGGTTGACTCTGTAGCAAAACACGTACGCATACACACACCTATAAAGTTTGTAATTCTTACCTGAGCAAAAGACTATTTTTCAATCTTTTATTTATTTTTGGTACAGAGTACTATGTAGCTCAGACTTGTGGTGATCTTCCTGTCTCAGCTTCCCCAGCACTGGGATTACAGGCATGCTCCACCATGCCTGGTTTTAGTGGCCAGCTCGGTGCACCGAAGGGTACCAGGGATCAAACCTGGGTCTTTGCGCTTGCCAGGCAGGTGCTTACACTGCTCTCCCCAGTCCCTC